TATGTTCCTGTTCTAGATCCCGTACTTGACCTTGAACTTGTTCCAGTATTTGACCTTGCTCCCCGTGTTCCTGTACTAGATCCCGTACCTTGTGTTCCTGTATCAGACCTAGTTCCCTGTGTTCCTAATCAAGACATTGTTCCCTGTGTTCCTATGCTAGACCTTGCTTCCCGTGTTCCTGTTCTAGACCTCGTTCCATGTGTTCATGTACTTCACCTAGTTCCATGTGTTCCTAAACTAGACCCTTTCCTAGATCATGTACTTGACCTCGTTTATAGTGTTCCTATACTAGACAATGTTCACTGTGTTCCTATACCAGACCTTGAACCGTGTTCCTGTACTAGACCTTGTTCCCTGTGTTCCAAAACCAGACCTTGATCCGTGTTCCTGTACTAGAGCTAGTTCCCAGTATTCCTGTACTAGACCTAGTTCTCTGCGTTCCTATACTAGACCTACTTCCCTGTTTTTCTGTACTAGACCTAATTCTCTGTGTTCCTGTACTAGACCTAGTTATCTGTGTTCCTGTACTAGGACTAGTTCCCTGTGTTCCTATACTAGACCTTTATCCGTGTTTTTGTACTAGACCTAGTTCCCTGTGTTCCTGTACTAGACCTAGTTCCATGTGTTCCTGTACTAGACCTAGTTCCCTGTGTTCCTGTACTAGACCTAGTTCTCTGTGTTCCTGTACTAGACCTAGTTCCCTGTGATCCTGTACTAGATCTAGTTATCTGTGTTCCTGTACTAGACCTAGTTCCCTGTGTTCCTATACTAGACCTTTGTCCGTGTTTTTGTACTAGACCTAGTTCCCTGTGTTCCTATACTAGACCTTTATCCGTGTTTTTGTATTAGACCTAGTTCTTTGTGTTCCTGTACTAGACCTAGTTCCATGTGTTCCTGTACTAGACCTTGATCCGTGTTCCTATACTAGACCTAGTTCTCTGTGTTCCTGTACTAGACCTAGTTCTCTGTGTTCCTGTACTAGACCTAGTTCCCCGTGATCCTGTACTAGATCTAGTTCCCTGTGATCCTGTACTAGACCTAGTTCTCTGTGTTCCTGTACTAGACCTAGTTCCCTGTATTCCTGTTCTAGACCTAGTTCTCTGTGTTCCTGTACTAGACCTAGTTCTCTGTGCTCCTGTACTAGACCTAGTTCTCCGTGGTCCTGTACTAGACCTGGTTCCCTGTGTTCCTGTTCTAGACCTAGTTCCCTGTGATCCTGTACTAGACCTTGATCCATGTTCCTATACTAGACCTAGTTCTCTGTGTTCCTGTACTAGACCTAGTTCTCTGTGTTCATGTACTAGACCTAGTTCCTTGTGTTCCTGTTCTAGACCTAGTTCCATGTGTTCCTGTACTAGACCTTGATCCGTGTTCCTATACTAGACCTAACTCTCTGTGTTCCTGTACTATACCTAGTTCTCTGTGATCCTGTACTAGACCTAGTTCTCTGTGTTCTTGTACTAGACCTAGTTCTCTGTGTTCCTGTACTAGACCTAGTTCTCTGTGATCCTGTACTAGACCTAGTTCTCTGTGTTCCTGTACTATACCTAATTCTCTGTGTTCCTGTACTAGACCTAGTTCTCTGTGTTCCTATATTAGACCTAGTTCTCTGTGTTCCTGTACTAGACCTAGTTCTCTTTGTTCCTGTACTAGACCTAGTTCTCTGTGTTCCTGTACTAGACCTAATTCCATGTGTTCCTGTACTAGACCTTGATCCGTGTTTTTGTACTAGACCTAGTTCTCTGTGTTTCTTTACTAGACCTAGTTCCCTGTATTCCTGTACTAGACCTAGTTCTCTGTGTTCCTGTACTAGACCTAGTTCTCTGTGTTCCTGTTCTAGGCCTTGTTCCCTGTGTTTCTGTTCTAGACCTTTATCCGTGTTCCTGTACTAGACCTAGTTCTTTGTGTTCCTGTACTATACCTAGTTCTCTGTGTTCCTGTACAAGACCTAGTCCTCTGTGTTCCTGTACTAGACCTAGTTCTCTGTGTTCCTATACTAGACCTAGTTCTCTGTGTTCTTGTACTAGACCTAGTTCTCTGTGTTTCTGTACTAGACCTAGTTCCCTGTATTCCTGTACTAGACCTAGTTCTCTGTGTTCCTGTACTAGACCTAGTTCTCTGTGTTCCTGTTCTAGGCCTTGTTCCCTGTGTTCCTGTTCTAGACCTTTATCCGTGTTCCTTTACTAGACCTAGTTCTTTGTGTTCCTGTACTATACCTAGTTCTCTGTGTTCCTGTACAAGACCTAGTTCTCTGTGTTCCTGTACTAGATCTAGTTATCTGTGTTCCTGTACTAGACCTAGTTCTCTGTGTTCCTGTACTAGACCTAGTTCTCTGTGTTCCTGTACTAGACCTAATTCTCTGTATTCCTGTACTAGACCTAGTTCTCTGTGTTCCTGTTCTAGACATAGTTCCCTGTGTTCCTTTACTAGACCCTTTTCTAGACTATGTACTAGACCCCGTTCCGAGTGTTCCTGTACTGGACTTTTCCCTGTGTTCCTGTACCAGACCTTGTTTCCTGTGTCCCTATACAAGACACCGTTCCCTGTGTGCCTATACTATACTTTGCTTTCCGTGCTCCTGTTCTAGATCATGTTTCCTGCGTTCCTGTACTACACACCATTCCCTTTTTTGTTTTACCGGAGTTGCACAAATCCAATTATTTTGAATTATTTTGCTGGACTATGTCATTTGTGCTCCTGTACATTAGTAGGCTCTTCGTTTCATTCCCAGACCAACCTTTATGTAAGTGTCTTTCCCTCATCCACACCATGTGGACTGTTGCTGTATAAGACTATATTTGTATGTCTTTACCAAGATTTGTTTTTTTATTTTATGCAATTTGGACAAGATTATTAAGAGTACATTTGCTGGGAGGGATCCCACCGTTGCCCTATTGTCTATATAGGGTCACTATAACATTAGCGGGCAATGTTGCGACACCCATGGTCGCCGCGGGACACCCGTGGTCTAAAGCAACAGATATGTTCACGCATAGCATTAGCGTATTTCCGCGTAGTTATTCGCATTCAATCAATAAAGTATCTAAAGATTTATGAGAGTTGACATAAGAAAACCATATTGTTAAAAGAATCTTGAAGCGAAAGCTCACAAGGCAAATATTCAAGCTGTCAATTGTTTTAAGGCTTATTTCGAACATGTTTGTTTTTGTTACTAAGCATTCCCCGACTATGTTTGTGCGTGTTTCTTTTTATTACCGGCATTCCCCGACTATGTTCGTGTGTGTTTTAACGGAAAACATTCTTTCATTTTAATTAGTCTTGTTTATACTTGAGGTCTCACTTACAATTGTTTAAGATAACGATTGAATCCCCTTACGAAACCACAATATTTTTTCTCAACCAGACTCATTTGATGTAGGGGTTTTAATGGNAAAACGTGATATTTAAGTGCATGTACAGCAGTATATTCATTTTATTTAAGTTGACTGTTGTGTTTTATACCTTCTCCTCGAACATATTTGGTTTGTGCCCATATTGATGGTAAAGGCCCGGTCACACAGCCTTTCGCGTCTGTATCGCGGGTAAAATTTCGCGATTTTTTTTTTGCCCGCGGTTGCCCGTGGTGGAAAATGTGCAAAATTGGCTTACCCGCGGTTTACCCGTGGTATGCCCGCGGAACAGACGCCGGCGACTGTTCCGCGTCCTTATCGCGGGTGAAGCGCGGCGGTACCGCGGCCTACCACGGGTATAATAAAGCAGCCGAACCGGGCTGTAGAAATCATAACCGCTCAAGACACAGTCCCGTGAAGATCAAGCTATGGCACCGAAGAAGAAGCCCACGTCGAGTTCCCCGGCCAAGAAGAAGAAGCAGCGTGCGAGCATGTTCACCCCTTGACGTCTGGAGCACAACTGACGAATGCTCGGCAAATCGCGCTTTTTATATACCTAAAATCAGACGTTGTACGGACGCGATTAGGCCGTGGACAATCGTATTTGGGACGTGTACAAGACGCAATTGAACGTGATTAGGCCGGTATTGGGGCGCGCTGTTTACGCGGAGAAAGGCGTTTGTCCGTGTTTACACGCGGTACACACGCTAATGCACGTGATAACAACGCGGTACAGACGCGGAACAAACGTGCTATGACCGTGCTCCACCCGCGATTACCCGCTAAAATTTCGCGTCCTACCGCGTGTAACCACGTCTTAACCGCGGCCGTAGCACGTCCTAGCACGTTCGTTCCGCGTCTGTACCGCGTCTTTACCGCGTGTGTACCACGTGTACCGCCCCCGATTACCCGCGGTCTAAATTTTTGGGCAGCCCAAAACTTTTTCGCGCGGCCAACCGCGTGTGAATTTCTTACCGCGTGTAACGACGGGTAAAGTACGGCTGTATCGCGTCTTTATCGCGACCTCAAAGCGTCCAACAGCGTCTGCTTCACGGGCAGAAATTTTTGGCCGTGATTCGGCCGCGATACGCCCGTGGAGGGCTGTGTGACCGGGCCTTAAAGAAAATCTAAGCAAAAAGAAGCCTAAAAGGCTACAGTATCAAGAGGAATACCGGTACATTTTGAACAAAACATAATTTTCTCGTCACTTAAAAGTAATTTGAGAGCGTTGTGCATTCAGTTTTCTAATATGATTACCCGGAGAAAAGGCTCATTTGACTTACGATTTAGTACAATACCAGAAATCATAGACAGGTTAAAAACGGAATACATGTATGACATGGAGATCCATAAAACAACGTAGCTATACAGAACAACATGGGATAGACATAATGTACAGTTATCTATAACGAATACTAGCTCCAGTTAAGTATGACATTCGGGTAACTACACGGTTGCGATTTCAATATCTTTAATTCAAATATATTGGTAAACTTCTCATTAAAAGAATACATGAAATGGATTTTGCCGAGTTACTCACTCTTTTTACCATTTTCATTACGAGAATGGCTTCTACACCACTGATACGATAATTAATTGAGAACTTGTGACGACGATTTGACAAAAATAACGATGAAGAGACAACGATGGTATGATTGGACACATAGATTTATTGTACATAAATTATATTTACATATGTACATAACAAATTCTCGGATAACAAATATATATATTATCAATAACAGCATCATGTGCTCATTGAATCTACTAAACTGACAAACTCCCACACCCGGCTTTACAATCCACACGCCCTGTTCCACCTTCCACACGCCCTGTTCCACCTTCCACACGCCCTGTTCCACCTTCCACACGCCCTGATTCACATTCCACACGCCCCGTTCCACCTTCCACACGCCCTGTTTCACCTTCCACACGCCCCACTCACACTCCTTGTTCGAAACGACAACAGTTATAAACTACGCCATTTTTCACTATATCCAAAAAGCCCATTGCACACTTATTGCATCTGCCATGGTCACTCGCTCACGTCACTCTGCCACACCAACATGTTTGCAATCTTACGCAACCACGTCATGCCCACCAATGCCGGGTGGACCACATATAACAAAGGCAGAAGTCAGCTACGTCTAGTGACAGTGTGTAATCTTATCACAATGTGGACAAAAGAACCAAGGAAACATATCTAACTAATCGCAAAATGCGGCACGTCCAAACATGGGACAGTGTTAACCAGATTCGAACGTGAAGCAAGGTCCACCTGGGACTGTATCCACCACGTCCGAACATTGAACAACGCCCGAAGAGGAGACTATGTCCATTTAACCATGTCCGAACGCGAGACAATATGCAATGCGCTCGAACAGAGTGCATTGTCCTCATCTCCGGAACAGGAAACGATGTCCATGAAGAAAACGTAATAATGAAACTTAAATCTTAGAAAGAAAGATTAGAGACGTCTATTGACGTCAAACATGTTAGTAATTAGCTGCATGTTATAAATGTCAAACATATCATTCCTAGCACTAAATACCACAAGATTTATTTAAAACAAGATCTATCAACGTGTAATTACCAGTCCCAATTATCATTAACTTTGATTTCTTCTCATTTAATAAATTAATTACTGGTGACTATATATAGGTTTCTGTACTACTGATGTCACCGATAGAAATCGTAGATACATTTTGTACCTACGTTACCGTCAGAAAACTGAACAGCTATCGCCGAAACCAGAACCGGAAATAGCGTTGGCCCCTGAGTGGTGTTAGATGAGATTCTGTTTTAGAACAACCCATTAAGCCTGGTCTGGGTATTCTTTTTTATAACTCGAAAAAAATATCAAACGATGTGCGTGTGTGAACTGTGGAAGTGGTGATCATTTGTAAACACAGTGATTGTGTTGTCTGGCCACCATCGTATAGTCTGGCCATGACAGATGACGCATGACCACCACGTGATCCACTGTTCGCGGTATCTGATGTTTGTCTGCAGTCTTAACACTTTCAATGATATCTAATGTCAGTAACAATATATTCCTTCCTGTCATAGAGCAAGAAGAGCTAATACTAGTAGTAATAACCAATGGCACTGGATACCCGCCGCTCCATTGTCCCCAGACACATATTGTTCAGTTTTATCACGAGTAGGCGCTCTTGTCACGTGCGTCTCTATAGTTTTCTTCTGAAAAAAAATAAAAATAAAATATATATAGATACTTTTTTATAATAGGTTCTGTAGGAGAGCAAGCAGATCGTAAAATCATGTAGATATCTATGAATTATATACATAATGCCTAAATATAACTGTATTAAATACTAATCTAACGAAAGCAAACTGCAAGAGACGGACCTTATGGTTAAATCGATATACCAACTGCTACACGAAAGTGCGCTTTCATTACCGGAAGTTTAAGAGGATGGACACGAATGTGTCCTCAAGCTATCCACTTCCGTTCACAAAGCAAGAGTTATTGACTTCCGTTCATAATACTGTACGAGAGCTGGACTACATTTGATATTGGTAAAACAGTCCGGAATCTCTTGAGACCAGCGCCTGACCTTTAACCTCCTATATATACTCATTGCCTGTGGCGGACATCGCCCTAGCTCGGCCGCAGGAGAGACCACTTATGTGGGCACGTTTATGTAATCCCTTTATCTGTTTATTTCATCGGAATAGAATCCCTCGCGCCGAAGCGATGGTCGGTTTTCCTTTGGGCGTGTTTTTGTGGAGGCGGCGTCTACGTGCCCTGGTCACACGCGGAATCGCGTGCTCTACAACCCGCACTCCGGCCCTTAACGTAAACATAGGTTAAACCAATCAGACTTCGAATAGCCTGTCTTTATGACGCATGATACAATACTTACACAAGCGACCGTTTTCCGAACAACATCAAACGTTGTCTAATCGATGGCTCATTGCGACTATCTAGACAATTAATCAACAGTAAAAACCACCCGGCAATGTCGACAACCCCCAAACGCCGATCAGGGAACGAATAATAGGAAGCGGGCGTTTACTGCTCTCAGAGTATATTACCAATAATGACCAAGGTAACGAAATAACTTTAATTGTCATAACGGAAACACGATGCTCGCTGAACGCAGCCATATATAGTACAGCTATGGGTACAATTGCAAGCACAAGGAATGCCGTACATAATTACAGACACGCGTAAAATTGCAAACTCAAAATAACGAACGCGTAGCCATACATACATATCATACATTGTACATGTGAAGTCGAACGCTGAACATGGCCACATACATCGAAGCCATAGATCATATTACTCAAAGCACATTTAACGCTGAAAGTATCTACTGGTATAGTACAGTTACACGTCACATTTGAAACACAGTTAGCGTCGAATATGTACAATATGCAGCTATATATAGTTCAGCCACGCTCCGTATTGGAAACACAGGGAACGCAGAACATATCAGTATATATAACCTATCCATAATGAAAACGCAGACGACGTACATTCGTATATAAAACTGTCACGTTCCATATTGGAAACAGAGGACGCCGAACATAGTAATATAGAATGATAAACGTAAAATAGATTATCCACAAGGGTTGTCTCAACCTCAGATCCCAATGTAGGATTGCATGGTGTGTAGTACGTTGTAACAATAGACGTAGATTAACTACAACTTACCTTCACAATCACAAATACATACAATAGTACTACCCACATTTGAGGAATCAATATAAAAACTTGTTGCATTGAAAAGATTTGACATTTCTAACTGAAATCTACATAAGCTAGCGAAATCATCCATGGTGTCCAGTTTAACCCCGTTCTACCCTACATTGTTACAGTTATTTCTCTCATTTCCCTGTGTGTAATGAGGCCTGGGTTTTACCAAATTTGAAAACCCCTCGGGTGGAATTTCCCTATCCTACACCCCTGTACATGAAAGAGTCTTATACTATTAGCACGGATAATAACAAACATCCCTAGTTAAATAGCAACAAAGTTAACGTAAATAAAAAGGAAACTGTAAGCTTTCACTATTAGCGGTAATGGTTATTGTAGATGTTCTTTGTATAAACCTGGAAATCTGTTCGAGAAACCCTTACCAAATGAAGGAGAAGGAGGAGTTATCTAAACCTAATACAGTAATTCACTCCTGCAATTTCATAATGAACTATTCCAACTTCTGAATTGGAAGAGTTTAACTGTATCTTCAGGGGTAAATGTGTTAAAGGGCGGTTACTCTTGAGGTAAAGTTAAGTTATAATTTAGTACCGTACCGTGGTGGAAGGTATGGAATAGTCACACTGTGTGGACCGTCGCACCATGGGTTTAACCAGAATCTCCACAATTTTGGCAGCTTCCTCGGAACACTTCGTCCGGACTCCTGTCTTGATACACTTAATCAGCTCTTTGATGTCCCTGTAACAACACGAACCTCGGATTTAGTCTAACCTACTAACACATACACTAGTATTAGTTGAATCTCTTAAGAATTAAACTAGTCTTAGTCAAATCTTCTAGCAACATGACTACACAATTGGTCAATTCTCTTAGAACCTGGACCATAAGACTTAGTCAAATCTAGCAACACGACCATTAGTCAAATCTTCTAGCAGCACGACCATTTAACTTGGTCAAATCTCTTAATACACGACTACTAGACTTAGTCAAATCGCTTCATACACGACCACTAGACTTAGTCAAATCGCTTAATACACGACGACTAGACTTAATCAAATTTCTTAATACACGACAACAAGATTTTATCAAATTTCTCAATACACGACCACCAGACTTCGTCAAATTTCTGAATACACGACCCCTAGACTTAGTCAAATTTCTCAATACACGACCACTAGACTTAGTCAAGTTTCTCAATACACGACCACTAGACTTCGTCAAATCTCTGAATACACGACCACTAGACTTAGTCAAATTTCTGAATACACGACCACTAGACTTAATCAAATTTCTTAATACACTACCACTAGACATAGTCAAATCGCTTAATACACTACCACTAGACTTAGTCAAATCGCTTAATACACGACCTCTAGACTTAATCAAATTTCTTAATACACGACCACTAGATTTTATCAAATTTCTCAATACACGACCACTAGACTTCATCAAATTTCTGAATACACGACCACTAGACTTAGTCAAATTTCTGAATACACGACCACTAGACTTCGTCAAATTTCTCAATACACGACCACTAGACTTAGTCAAATTTCTGAATACACGACCACTAGACTTCGTCAAATTTCTGAATACACGACCACTAGACTTAGTCAAATTTCTCAATACACGACCACTAGACATAGTCAAATTTCTCAATACATGACTACTAGACATAGTCAAATTTCTGAATACAAGACCACTAGACTTAGTCAATTTTCTTAACATACGACCACTAACTAGACTTAGCCAAATTTCTCAATACACGACCACTAGACTTAGGCAAATTTCTCAATACATGACCACTAGACATAGTCAAATCGCTTAATACACGGCCACTAGATTTTATCAAATTGTTGGCAATACACGACCACTAGACGTAGTCAAATTTCTCAATACATTACTACTAGACATAGTCAAATTTCTCAATACATCACTACTAGACATAGTCAAATTTCTGAATACCCGACCCCTAGACTTAGTCAAATTTCTGAATAAACGACCACTAGACTTAGCCAATTTTCTCAATACATGACCACTAGACTTAGTCAATGTTCTTAACACACGACCACTAGACTTAGTCAGATTTCTGAATACACGACCACTGGACTTAGTCAAATTTCGCAATACACGACCACTAGACAGTCAAATCGCTTAATACGCGACCACTAGACTTAGTCAGATTTCTGAATACACGACCACCAGACTTAGTCAAATTTCTGAATACCCGACCCCTAGACTTAGTCAAATTTCTCAATACACGACCACTAGACTTAGTCAAATTTCTCAATACACGACCACTAGATTTAGTCAAATTTCTTAATACACGACCACTAGATTTTATCAAATTTTTCTCAATACACGACCACTAGACTTAGTCAAATTTCTGAATACACGACCACTAGACTTAGTCAAATTTCTTAATACACGACCACTAGATTATATCAAATTTTTCTCAATACACGACCACTAGTCTTAGTCAAATTTCTGAATACACGACCACTAGTCTTAATCAAATTTCTTAATACACGACCACTAGACTTAGTCAATTTTCTCAATACACGACCACTAGACTTAGTCAAATTTCGTAACGACAAGACCACAACAATTACAGTAAAATCTCTGAAAACATGAACTTTGGTATGTATATAGTCAAAACTCTGAAAACATGAACTTTGGTATATATATGTCCAGAATTAATGGAAAGAGAGATGATACCGTATGTTGATGCTTTTCATTTGGATTCGATCATCTAAGGCTAGCTATTCACGACACACTTACATGTACCTAACGTAACTCCGAAAATAATGTATTCCAATGCATTTAATGGCAATAAATACCTGCATTATTGTAAACAATGCATCAAAACAGGATTAGGTTATTTAAAGTTTTGGTGTAATATTCGTTTGACCTTTCCGTTGTTTGTGTGACATTACAGGTAGGTCTTACGGGAGAACCATGTACGCCCCGTCACTGATGATAGTACCGCGTGTTTGTGTTACTGAGCCCTACCTATCGACAGCGCATTAGTTGTTAGGCTGAGTAGGTTAATAACCCATTATCTGATTTGTTTTGTAATTAGGGGTGACATCCCAGCAGGTGCGCAATGTGACCCCGAGGTACCCAGGCGATGTTTACATTCCTCAGCCCCTGTGTACCACCCGCCTCAGAGATCAGTCCCACTGAACCCTTCCACGTCTCTAAACATGGATTAAAGTTTGGATACTTAATCCTCGAATTTGACTAAACGCCCAAATGTAAATGAAGATGATTTTAATGGATCTAGCATGTTTGATGTTGTTCGGAGAGTAAAACCATCCGAGGGAAGATTTCCGTGCGATGGGCCTGTCGTCTGGGTGACCGGAAATGGTACTTGAGCATGACAAGGAAGTCAACCAATGGCCGTATGGACAGAGAGAGTTTTCACAAACAGGTCTGTTTACCTAGCGAATCCAGTCGTCAGCTCGAGCAAACATCGGGTCCACTCCAAACCAAGTTCGTGTATTAAGCACAGTCAACAACGCACTTGTCCATTGTCATTAAAATAAGGATGATAAGTCTAATTTATCATACAAATATTCAAATATTTTTTGACAAGACTAATCCATTACGGTTATGAGAGGTTTATTTTTAATCCCTGATTATGAGCCCCTACAAGTTTTGCATTTCTTAGTTTAAATATATATGATTTAAAATATAAACGAAATCACTATCAACCCATGTCTGACTACACTTACAAATGATTTAAAATTGACTCTGGTAATGTTACATGTCAGCAACCTGGTGAAGTAAGTGTAACCTTGCAAAGCAACGCAAGCTTAAGTCACTGTGACCTTGTAAAGTTACAATGACCTTGTAAAGTATGCCCGGTCAAAAAAGTTACGATGACCTTTTTGACCCAGGTCAAATTGATCTTGACCTTGCAAAGTTACAGTGATCATATAAATAATCCGTGTTAAAATTACCGTGACCTAACAAAGTTATCGTAAACATATTTATGTATACATGCTTTCCTTTATATTGTTGTGTCTGTATTCACACCTTCATGTGACGCCGTGTAAATCTATTAAGATTCTTGTTATATGTATTACTGTTCAATTACTGCTATACATACCCACATAACTCCTGGAGTGGGAGTGAGTCTATCCGTTGCATCAATCGAACTGTCGTGTGCATGATATTCTCAAAACATGTCTCAGAATTGCTGCCCACGGCTTGTAGACAATTTTGGTTTCTTGCATAAACTGTTGGAATAAAGAAAAACACATATCATGATCACCTGTCAATAAATCATGTATTTCACAAAGCATGCAATAATCTTGTTAATTGTTTACGTTATTGATGGTTAATTTAGTTTTTACAAGGGTTTGTAATTTCGCTATTTTGCGAAAACATGGGAAACTTGACTGTCTGAAACTGATGTTTTAAAAGGTTATGATATTTGAAATGTTATGACTCATATGGACAAAACAAGCGATTCCAAAAACGTTCACCACAAAAAACAGACGAAGACGGAGAGTCTGGTAAATATAAACCATCAAGTAACTGATATACAGATACAACCCTAGCAAGATAATAACACAGTCCGACAATGACATTTCATTCATTCTGATCTGGCATCGACGTTTTGATGAAACCGTGACCAAGTAAACAGTACATGATTTGCCGCAATAACTGACTATCTGGCTTTGTTTTATGGGAAGCAATTGAATTGACGAGGACAATTACAAGAAATTTTGTCGGCATGTATAACGTTTGGCTGAAAATCTTGATATCAGCAATATTTAAACGGTTGCTTAGCAACCTTTTTTGGTCACGTGCATACGTGTGACGTCAAACTTAAAAAAAAAAATCCTGTTGAATGGGCTGGTGTTGCTGACGCCATGTCGCGTGGTGGCCAGGAGTACCGATGACCGGTATAGGATTGTGTAATACTGATATCTTTATACAAGCCTTACAGAATTGTAGAATAACTGTCAGACCAAAGTCACATCCGACAGCGTGGTTGGATAGAAGTTTCCACTAATGCGTTTTCTGCGTTCCCAATTGTCAAAACGCTATGAGCGGAATGCAGTAGTAGCCTTAGATCTGACAAGGGCATGCTGTTTATGCCAGTGCGAATCTACAAACACAGAAAGTAAACACGTGCGTTGTCCGTCCTGGTCTCCGTGTAGTTTGGGGTACACAGGTACCACATGTTCGCCCTAGGCTCTGTGTTTAAACACGGGCGTGGGCTAATAGCACCTCAAGTGTTTCCCTGAGGTCCTGTCCTGGTCTGTGTCATTTTCAAGTGATTCCTACACGTGCAAACTACTCAAGATTTTTAAATGGTAAACTCTTTACTCCAAACCAGATTTCACAGGTAAACAAGCCCAGTCTGATGTACGTCTGTTTTCCTTACAGGTACCGTATTTTAAGCAAATCTACCGAGTCAGTATAGGTTATTAACATGCACCGACATTTACACGTGCCTCGACGTACAGAACGAAATGTTTGGGATTATGTCAGAGTGACCTCTCGTCAAAAACGGCCAGCTAACACCATTATGGAAAACTAGTTCACGTCCTTAGAGATCTCGATTTCACTCCTCGCTGGGAATTTGCCCATTAGTCACCGAGATATTTGAAAGTCTGCACTGCACTAGGATGCCACTTGATAATAAATGATAATTTTAATGGATGTCAAAAACGTACGACACTCGTGCACACAGTAATGCCTTTCTACTTGGCTGTCGTACAGTACAACGGTAATGATGATTTATAATCGACTTAGTAAGACACTGCTGTCTCTGACGCTGATTTTTTTTTGTTCTCGTTATATTCATGTTCCGAAATAAGACACGAACACCGAGTACATCCATTTATCTTTCTATCAAGCCTAGCAGCTGTATGATGAAGTAAGTTACAATATCAACACCTTTACGTGAAACATAATTCCAGATCTATATGATAAACGAAATCCCTATGTCACAAATTGACACTCTGTGAAAATGAAACGTCATAATATCATAACCTGGTTCTGGCTGTGACGTCACAAAGTCGTATCTACCTCAGGCTGTAACGTCCTAACGTCGTAATCTATCTCAGGCTGTGACGTCATAACGGCGTTACCTACCTCAGGCTGTGACGTCATTACCTTAATCTGTAACGTGATATCAACGTAACCTGCCTCAATCAGTCACGTCATAACGGCGAAACCTAACTAAGGCTGTACCGTCGCAACCTGTCTAAATCTGTAACCTCGATAAGTTTTAAATTTGGCAATTTCTCCAAGACAAATTACATTTCCTATGAATAACAACTGAATGGGTTCAATGCTCATATTGATTATTTTCTAGTTTCATCTGGTTGTGTGTGATTTTTTACAACCATGATTTATTTTCCCGAACTTATTGTTGATGACTTGGCAATTATTTGAACAGCAAATAGCCAAATCAGAGATAAAAAAACAACAACACACACACTAGGCCTACATCGTAACCGGTCTCGACCTCTAATGCCAAAACGTCGACGTTACCCGCCTCAAGCTGATGTAGGCGTAACGTCAAAAACCGCTCCAAAATCTAACACTGGAACGCCGTAACTTGTCTCAGGTTGTACGTAACCTCAGTTTAAGGCTGTGGCTGGCGTGTCAGGTTGTTAAAGATATAGGGAACACTACACCTTGCCTGTGGTTTCGGCAATATATTAGGTTGGTAATCAGTGTGAACCGTCCAAATATCACTTGGTGACAGGGAATTAAATTGTGGTTATTTATGTATTTTTCTAACTTCTTTTATACATTCTTGCTTATGTTGTCTGCCCTGATGTCACCAGTGTAGATTTTAAATTCGGTTGATAATGTGCGCCCTTTTCCTGTTTACGCGTTGAAAATTGACACAAAAAAAAATGTAGAATATTGTATGCTTGATATTCAATAGAGCAAGACTATGCGTTCTTGAAACGGCAGACAGAAAATAGAACACATACAAACCCTCCACAACATAAACACGAACCGTATTAGTATAATACAACGACCAGCAAACCAGCTACAGTTGTGTAGATTGTATATTTCATATAAGCTGACCAGTTTTGACCAGTATTGAATGCGTACATGTACTGTGTGTAAATGTTACACATGTTTGTGTAATCTACTAATCGTAAAATGATACTTTTCAGGAACAAGAAATGCCAATACACGATAAACGTAATCTGAATTGTGCACGCTAATTATTAGTCGTATTACAGCCATGTCGACTGAAGTTTAAGCGCTACCTTCGTATATGTTGTCGTTGCGACAGAGTTGTGTCAATTCTTCATGAGCGCCGTAAGCATCTTGATTTTTAAGCGATTCGGTGATTTGTCCATCTGCTTCCGGTGGGCAGTCGTCAAACAATTGTTGTACACACTTGAGAGCATTGTTGTACGTCCTGTAAACATATAAGTTAGATTTAAAAAAGGTGTTCATGTAATATTTCTAATACGGTCACCGAGACGTTTGACGTTTTCCACAAATGCGGATAAGTCATGATGGCATCGACTATCTTATTCACATCGGAACTCAACGTCATTTTTCGTCTTTCATGTATTCGTAATGTGACGGGACAATTTTCTACTGGGTTCGAAACCAGGTCATAACTCATCACGTGAGTTGTCTCACACGATGAAGAAATAAGAAGAGGGACGTCGTTGTAGAGTCAAAATAAAATATCTCGAACCCATATACAATATCACAAGTGAAATACATTATTATGTAAGTTGCAAATACTTATGAATGCATAGTAACAATTGAAAGAATATTATCCGTGATATATAATGTTGCGTATACAAAATGTATATGATTTTACTATAAGGTTCCGTATATAACATATAACGCCTTCGTACAAACAGAAAGTGAGATTACTATAGCAAACGAACACAGAGCGATTTAATCTATGTTATTTTTCATGATCAGAACGTTCAGTTGAAGTTATACCGATTATCTGTTTACTTTGAATGCCCCCTACTATACAACGTGCTGATAACAAAATGCATATATCTATCCTACTACATAAAAAAAGCGATTGGGTGCGCTGTCGTGTCTATCTGAGTGTCTATAAGGCAATGGACTTGTAATCAAATTCTCTTAACTACTCCAATAGTCTGTGTTAGTGCTTACAAACATGTATTAAGCGGTGCCTCGTTTTCATTTCATCAACAGTCGAATAAATATTTTCATATTTTCTTGGTACGCTTGCACATGCATCGACAAAAGTTAGCACGTCCGAAATCAGTCTCATACGGCACACTTGTTGACGTTAGAAGGGAGATTCTGAACGAGCGTCTCACGTACACGTTTTATAAGGACAAAAAGATAACGTACGTGTGCGTATCTATTGTCCATGCGTTCTTGCGTAGTAACCAATGAAAAGTGGCGTTACATGGCGACATGGTAGAACTGGCAATAGCGGCCAAAGAGCGTATCTCGATGGAGAGAGTGGATATATTTCACAAAATGGGAGTTAATTCAAGACAGTGGAAGACTTTTGACATTTATCATCCTACAGTCCAAACAGTCATCAAAGTGGTACCTATCTCACCTCACTATACACCTTGTAGTCAAGTGACTAACGTGTGCATGACTACGGTAATCAAGTGACACGAGATCGTGTGCATGACTACGGTAATCGAGTGACACGAGATCGTGTGCATGACTACGGTAATCAAGTGACACGAGATCGTGTGCATGACTACGGTAATCAAGTGACTGTCACGTAGCTAACGTGTGCATGACTACGGTAATCAAGTGACACGAGATCGTGTGCACTTTTACAGACATTCAATTAATGCAGCAACTTCTCTCCTCAAAAATCTGACAAAAGACAGGAATATCGAAACAGTAGACCCGATCCGTCATTCATGTCTCGCCTCACAGCATGTGACAGATCGCATGATAAAATAAATTATATTGAGTATTCGTTCTTAAATTAGATATAATAATAAGATGTCAAGGTGTAAAATTGGGACATGTACTTTAATTTTATTTTGTTGTTAAAGTAAAGACGTTTCGTAAGAGTGACCGGATATGGACGTCACGTGATAGTGTTAATACATGCGTCCATACTCAGTTCGAGGATCTGTAGGACCGAACACTATAGTTATGGCACGTTAATTAATTATGTTCCGGATTGTTATCAACGACAATATGTTACAATTAACAAAAAATTACAATGAGGCATTCATTTTCAAATTCGTCATTTAATTTGAATACAAAGCCGGAATCTTACATGAATAATCTTATACGAGGGAGCCCTGATGAACGTGAGGACACCTCAGACAACACAGGACAGACACGCAGCCTAACATTACAACAACACGCTTAGAAAGAAACAATATAGGACAAATTGTCATCTCTGATGGATTGGGTTCTCATAAAGACGTCTCAAGGGTTCGGAATGACGGCGCGGACGGCCAGACAAGACGGACAGACATCAACACACTACACTGAAAGTTTAGTCGTTCTGAGAGATAGGTTGAGCCGTGACCGATTCATTAGTCAGAACCCGGCCTCTGACAGAACAGCAATGTCACGCAAAACTTTGATATATCCTGATGTCTATGTATTCTACGACGAGTATCTGTGTAGACCAACACACTGGAATACCCTGCAGAAATAGTCCATAATCTAGGTTTACGAGTCTTATACGAAGTATGTAATGGTTGGGCGTCCGGGCACACTTCCCTTCCTATGCGTCATGTTCACGTCGACTGCTTTGGTGTGGCAGCCGTAATGAACAATTTGCACCATGTTAATTTCCAATACAGAAAAGCAAAGCCTATACTTTTCTTGCAAGCCAGCGCATGAAAGACATAGGCCGAACTCTTTTTTTTTTACAAAAACGAAAACGTTCCATACGATGAAAACGTGTAGAGTCTAGCAAAGTCCGCTGTTGGTTGTGTTTTGATATCCTTTTGAGAAAAAGCAGGGCGATTGGTTTGATTATGGCTACCATTACGTGATGCAGTGGTTGTTTGATCGGTGTAATGAGAGTTATGGCAGTGACGTTTGATGTTACTACACCACGTCAATATATAAATACCACAAACCTAAATGTAAGTAAGGAAGAGAAATTCGAGAATACAGGCTGTAGTTTGTTGACAGGTTCGTCTGAGAGAATACAGATATATCGTACCACAAGTATTCATGTAATAGCTGAAACGACAGGCTTTGAACTCAGATCAGACTTACAATAGAATGTCAGAAAAGACAATATGTTTCAATTTGTACATCTGACAGTTCTTGTCCATACTAAATAGTGCCAATCCATTGGCCACAGCCGCTATGACTAACGAGAGTTGGAATGCGTGTCTTATCAAATTCTTTTCCGACTTTCTTGTTTTGTTGTAATTTTGTTGGTTTAAGTTACTTGCCAACAAGTGATCTTTAGCAATAAATGTGATTTAAACCATAATTTTATGTACATAATGACAGGACTTAACCAGGTGATGTGCCAGGACTACACGGATGAGTGACGTATTCACATTGACATGCAGATATCGTCCAGTGTATGCAACGTGCGCAAATAAATTGTAATAAATGTCCATGTTGTGAGATGAAATTAATTGCAAAATTATTCCAAACAAAGGTGTTGATTAAATGACACATAGGCCTCAGATATGCGTGAGTTGGTGTATCAGGCTGTTGGCACGCTGATGATGTCATGTAGGTACGTCTTAAAAGTGTCAAAGTTACTGTATCTGGAAAAAATTTCAGCGAATCATGTGTAATTGTCACTGAACAAGAATTAAACGCTGTTGACGTCATCATGCAAATAACTTCAGCAAATCAAGTGCAATAGTTATCGTACAGATGTATTGTTTTACATTAGTCGCAGAATACAGAGTAGAGTACCACATTAGTCGCCGCATACAGAGTATAGTACCACATTAGTCGCCGCATACTGAGTAAAGTATCATATAGGTCGCCAGAAACAGAGTATAGTACCACATTAGTCGACACATACAGAGTATAGTACCACATTTGTCGCCTCAAACAGAATATAGTACCACATTAGTCGACACATAAAGAGTATATTACAACATTAGTCGCCATAGACGATATTACCACATAAGACGCCAGATACAGAGTACAGTGCCACATTAGTCGCCATAGACGATAGTACCACATAAGACGCCAAATACAGAGTACATTACAACATTAGTCGCCATAGACGATAGTACCACATAAGACGCCAGATACAGAGTACAGTGCCACATTAGTCGTCGTATACAGAGTATAGTACCACATTTGTCGCCTCAAACAGAATATAGTACCACATTAGTCGACACATAAAGAGTATATTACAACATTAGTCGCCATAGACGATATTACCACATTAGACGCCAAATACAGAGTACATTACAACATTAGTCGCCATAGACAATAGTACCACATAAGACGCCAGATACAGAGTACAGTGCCACATTAGTCGTCGTATACAGAGTAAAGATCCACATTAGTCGCCACATACAGAGGGAAGCATCGCGTTAGTCTCCGCGTGTGATCAAGCAGTGGCTACACTATGCCATACAAGTCATAAGCCTTTTCATTAAAGTAAAAGTATAGTCATTATATAATGTGCAGAAGTCAGACCTTAACCATGTTGACCTCGGATCAATATTTATTAAAGAAACGTTTAGCCTTACTGCCACTGATACGTTTTTATATGAGAATGTAATTAACCATAATGCTAGATGTACACAATGATATTCTGTTTATCATGGAAATGGCTTTTTTCGTCGTAAAAGTTAGTGCCAGCTTTTAAGGATGAATTCAATCTAGCCAATTACAACAACGCAAATTCATGTAATAAAAATTCAAAGAAAAAGCTTTAACTTAATCATGTAAATAATATTGGATCATATGACCCCCATTTCTGAGGGCTGGCTTCACATCGTACGTTAGCGGAGTTGTGTATTGGCGGTAACGTCCGGGCACTGTCTATTGGGATGACAACCTCTCCCTGGGCCACTCATCACCTAGTTCGGTAAGAAGTACGGTAAAGAGTGACAGGGGTGGCCTTATAAGGTCACCAGTACGACAGATAGGATACGCCGTGTTACACAGGCAAATGTGTGATTAATTAATCTGTCTTACAATTAAAATATGACCTAAGAGTTTCGGTAATGAGTCCGCGCCATCTGTCGGCAGTATTTTCTTCGTAATGGCCGATAACTTGCAGTCAGAAGGGACGCTACAGGTGCTAATCTTCCACGTTTAATGACGTTGTTAAAAACATCTCGTAAGTTATTGGCAAAGGTGAAAGACGCCGCCGATGATCAGATAAAGTAACAAAGTAACTGTACAATCGCCGGGTGCGTTCGACAGGCCCCTCATTGGAGCGTACAGTGCCCGAACCACCAAGCGTGCAGGTGTTCTAAGATACAAATTATGATATAAGTCAGCGCATCAGCCTTCTATTCATTAAAACGGGAAATATTATTTTATACAGGAATTCTTTATTCACGATAGAGTATTCAGGTAATTTGCTACGTCGTATGTATACATAACAGCCCGGGGATCCAGTTTCAATCGAATTCACAGCATGCACTCCACGACGCGAGTGGCAGAGTTTTATTGGAATGGCAATGTAAAGGAAAGTGATATATTTTCTGCACTTAAACAATACTATTTTAATTCTTTTTAAATTATTTTAAACTTATTACATGATTATATCGTTAAGAGGTTGTGCCAATATCCCCATGTTGTCCAACTCCATCGTGGAATGCTTCTTTCATTGACTAAAAACCCATTAGGTAAACAAACAACGTTTAGATAAGTCGTATTCAAAATACAGTGCATTGGTGTTTTCTATTTTATTTTAAAAGGCGTGGTATGTCCTATCTTAAAAGAAAAAAATAACGTTTATAATTATAACAAAAAAAAATATAACATTTGATTCAATAATAGGGTAACTTTATTTATACGTGTCGATCTGACGACCAAGTGTTAAAATTAATCGTTTTTAAGACTATTCGGTTCGGTTATGACTCCATCAATATATTGTACATGCGACTCTTTGCACACACTTTAAACATATTGACTCTAGATTAAGTCAACCGCTCGTATGACCAAGATTTTTCATGCGCTGTTCCGTCCAAAGTTTTGCTAGCCTATAAGTGCACATCATAAAAAAGTAATTGATAAGAAAGCCATTTATTCTGAAACAAACAACTATTATATAATAAGATAATGTTGATTACTTACGTGCAGAACGAGCGAAGTAACTCGACGTTGACCCCAGAAAAGAGGGCGTGGTCACTCTCCTGAAGGCTATGAAGCTGAGTTCGATAATCACCAAAACAGTTGGATGCGGCGGTTTTCACGTACTGTGGACAACCCGTCCCGTCAACTTGTGACGCCACTACAAGAGAGGAAAGATGTGGTCAATAAGAAGCATTACATTGGCGCTATAGTTTCTGTTTATATTTAAATGTCTTGTAACGCACACATTGACGTAAATGTACATAATTTTCAGGGATTATATTTTGAAAATTGAAATTATTGGTGAAAAGGTATCTATAGGTTTTCCTATAGGACAAATGTCATTTCCAATACATAATTTTCGTTTTATATATATATATGGCAGAATCAGGAGGATGATCTGGGCGCCAGTTACATGTACGCAGTCAATGGTCAGGATACATGCAATCAACATTATCAGCAAGGATGTGCATACAAGTAGAGTGTATTGTTTTGATACCTTACAAAATGCATTTATGTTAATCGATGTATTCATCCAATGAGGTTTATTTTTATTTCATTTTCAATTTAACCCTTTATGGGCGATATTATTGTAGATAGGAAGATGGCAAATTGTCCCTACAATTCAATTGATAAACATTAGGATTGTTTCACATACAATGTATCGACCCTTTTGAATTACGTGTCTTCATAGGGCAAAAAGTGAAGAGTTGTTATTGAATACCCTTGCTCTGGATTCCCCGAGTTTATATAGCTATGACCCGACATATCAGTAATATGTTACTGTTTATATGATCAGATAAATATGTAGATGTGTAACTGTGTGTATTTTACAGTAGGTATACGGAGTGACAGTGATATACAAGTCAACGTCACTCGGGTGTTTGAACTGTTTGTGGTCGGAGTAACAGCCGACATCTGCCTCTCACGGACCGTTATCATACAGAGCCAGTACAATTATAACAGAAATATATAAATGTTCGATACATCAGCCATTCCCACATCCCCACGGGAACCTGCATATCTACAAATATAAATTGCTTCGAGCGAAGAGAAACGAGGCAACAAATGAAACGTCACTGAAAAAAATGTTTTAAAGGAAAGACCAACAGCAGGCAGAGCCGCGGTATGTGAGATACATTAGGAAAAAACCCAGCGATAAGTAGATTAAAGAGAATTTCAAATATTTTAAGAAGCCGATCTCAATTCCAGAAGATGACAGGTCGTCATATTGCCCGAGCTGGTGGCGAGCTGTGAGCGTGACAGACAGTTTAATCTCCCTACAGACCCAACACACACATATACGTTAGGATTTTCTCACCCAGGCAAAAGGCTGGATTATTTTTGCGATTACCAGGTCGTATCCCCTGACAACATAACAATGTTAGGGTCATTTCCCTCTTATGTCAGTGTTACTGTGCATTAAAACCAAATCCGCCAAAATTATCAAATTCGGCCAATAAGTACAAAAGTTCAGCGACAGCATTTCTGGGAAAAAGCTGCAGATCCGAAAAGCATTAGTGATCCGATTTGTTTAATCATTGCTTTGTCGGCAATCGGTTCAATAATTGCAATGGTCTGTTACGTAAAGATTCAATATCTACAGACATACACACAAGAAAAACAGCCTATTCGACCAATCAACTCGTAACGCCTACCTCCCGGTCGACCGGGGTGCGACTGTCGCAGGACAGCCACTGCTAATGACTTGGGCCATCAATGCACGGCCATCCCGCGATCGATATCAACACACACACTTACAAGGTAATAAAACCAAAACTAGAGTTAAATCAAACGGAGAAAACGTCTATATCCGACTTTGAAAATATTTGTAAAGTAATAAACTGTAGAATTTATTCCCAACCGATTGATTTTGTTGGGACTTCTATTCAGATGAGGAGAATGAGATCCGGCTGATACAAGCGCCACCTGCCGAGTAGGACTGTCAGCCGGTCGTAAAGCCCGGTTACCTCACCCTTTTACAGGCACACGTTTGCTGTTCGTGAATGACTATAAACCGCTCGATTAAATATCGACCTGGTCATAAACAGAACAGAAAACACCAAACTAATTTCTCCTCAAATTAGATCTAGGTATTTACCGATAAGCAATAAAAAACACATGTACATATAGGTAATGGTTTGTACACCATTGAATCTTTTGGATTACATCTGCCTTTTACGTGTCTAACGGTATTTGCAACGTTTTGATTGGTCAGACGTGACTTTCATCAAGCAAGTAGCCCAATCGGGAACCGTCGTCACTTTCCGTAAACGAGTATTTTCTCGTTTACGGAAAGTGCCGACGGTTCCCGATTGGCAAGTAGCCTATATTATATATTATACAATGTCGCGACGTTATCTCGGGTACCATCTGAAATGAAACCCAAAGCGCACATACATGAAGCAACACGGGCTTAACTCAATCTAATGTAGTTGAATATACACGACCTTCGTGATATTGCCCCGTGCAAGTTTAATCTCAAAAATATGCTGTCGCATCACAAATGTTAAAAATATTTGTATTTGCGTTTAAAACAACAACAAAATTGCATATCAGTGTCTTGTTTTTCTATGATTTCGAGTTCTGCCAGGCAAAATAAAACGTCAATCAGAAATCATCCGGGAATTTCCGTCATATTGACGGAAAGACCCGAACAATTTCTGGCAAGAAAATACTCACAGATCTTCGTGCTGTTGGTTTATAAAAAAAAATGGTTTAAAAGTTCATTTAGGGGATATTCATGGTAAATGTAAGTACTTTATTCAATTTGTTTGCGATTTTTTTGGAGGGGGTTCTTGTACTAGTCTTGCCAGATTCCGCTTTTCAGCGTATACGGGACAATATATGTATTAGAGGGTACAGGCAAAATGGGTGTATGGTTTAATGATGAATGTCAGTCAGGCAAAGGCTGTGTAATAGGTTTATATGTATGACATGTAGTGAGTAGAGTAGTATGAAATCTGTAAGATGAGTGTTCTGTACAATTACCCATCTTTTCCTGTCATAATTTACAGACTTGTATCTCATTATTTGCCATGCGTATGTGTTTGAAAAATCTGAATAAAATTCTAAGTTACAAAAAAAAATAAAAAAATATATGTATCAGAAATAAGTAAGTTAACATACAACAGTGCAACGAGATGAGAAATATTGGCAGTATCAAAATGGATGTAAACAAACTTTTATCAGCACTAGCCGACAGGTTGCATGCCAGGATTTTAAGTGGAAATGTGAAGATGTACATGTAGGTGTATGTGTACTCTCATAAAGTTTTAGTCCGTAGCATTTACGATACCTAACAGAATATCAAAGTTGTGTAGAACACTTCAAGCACATATCTCAGGAGAATACAATCGTCTGTAGGCGAGCTGCTAAAGGTACGCAGAGATACGTGAACATCATCCATCTGAGAGTTTGAACCTGGATCTAGCATGTTACATTTCCCACTGTCACCCTCATATACAAGTCATGTGATCTAATCTTCTACCGAGACCTACAATCACAACATATTGTATGGAAGATAACAAATAGGTTCACAGATAATGGAGTGTTATGTGATTCCTGAAAATTGCATTATTCTTCAAATATAACATAGGAAAATCGATTTGTTTTCCAAAAGAATATATACATCAGTTTTCCTCAAGACTACGCGTATACGTTGAGATATTTATCTCGATAAACTGTTATTTATTCGAACGATAGCCGCCGATCCATACAGCGCTTTACTCTTGTGTGGATCGTAAATAAAGGTGGCACCGTGATTGTACTAATCTTGTATTGTACAAATTCCCCTCGTAAAGTGGGCACGCTTGATACAGACCAGCGACCTAGAGACGATACGTCAAACCAAATAGTGCTTCTTAACACAGGGGCTTGCTTGACATTCCTATCAACATACACAGCACTCACGGTCCCCTCTACATAGAAGGGTCTTATGGTATTTCTGTACAGCACATACAAGCAATCAAAGTTGGCTGGTCAATGTACATGTAAGTTGGCTTGCCAGTTTATTTACCAACGGGTTTTTTTTCTAAAACAGTTTTCATGGCGACAGACTGACATTAAATGATCCTGCGCGACCCTGATTTACAACGTGTGGACACGGAGGAGGGGCGCGAGTCGCTGATAGACACGTTCCATCCATAACTCGACCCCGTCCGGCGATGTCTACTACTAGCGCGCCTCCCACTTCCCGCCGTTCCTGTAATGTCCGTGCGTCACGCGAGACTTGGGCAAAAAAAACCGCTTCTGTCGGCATAAAAAAAACTCCCTGGGGAGCCACGATCTCCAATACGGGGAGTCTGGTCGTGTCGGGAGTCTTTTTCAATGCACCATCTCAGTGAAAAGTGGACTTAACGTTTAGCCACCTTCCCGTTACGGAACGACACTAAAAGGCCCGTAGTCACAAGTTGGCTGATTTACGGAGCGTCAAAAGGCACCATCTCACATTTAACCCCGCCAGCTATGCGATAAGATGAGACTGATTTACTTCCTAACATGTTTTAGTCTAATTTCTTCGAAGCATGTTGTACAGTGGAAAATTGAGTTTGCCGATAATTGCCGAACAGGAATCTTTCTAAGAAAGTACCGAGCGCCAGTCGTCGGCCTGTCTTACAGGTGTGATATGACACAGACTATAATGCGCCATTATCCCAATCCGTTACCCCAGGAGAGCCGTTCAGCGTGAGGACCGACTAGACTGCGACGAAACACATCAACATGTCCTCAGACGTGTGCTTGTGAGGATAGCATGAACTATTATAGTTTTGTACTTTTGCCCGTAGTGATGGAAGGGAGGAGGAGAAGAAGGAGAAGGGGGGGGGGGGGGGGGGGTGCACTTTGAGAGGGGCCATCGCCTATTCCTTACTAACACCACCCTCTTATTTCTTTGAAAAATCACGGTGTTATTGTCCTTTTTTCTATCTTCATTAATATCAACCTACCTACACTGTATCATATTTACCGTCCTTCTACGATATCCCAAGTAGCCCAGTTTATCTACAATAGGAAATATAAATACACCACTCCGCACTTGCAGCAAAGCAACAGCATAACACCACGTTTGATTATGAGAGACTAAATGTTGAGCAGAAGTAAGTTTACATGTAAGACCTATATCTTTAAAGTAGGAATACGCCATCCTACATTTTCAAGAAA